CAAATGTTTGGATATTTACTCATAACCAGCAATCCTTCCTCAGGTGCCACACCCGCTACAAAGAGCCTGGTAGTCGTCCAGGGGCCGATTTCATCCCGGAAACTACACGGTTTCCTCCCAGAGAACTATATAAAGTCGCCTCGGAGACTTTCTGCCTGAATCAGAATGTCCGGGTGCCATCCTTCAATATTCTAGTTTATTTATTCCTGGAAAAGATGCTGAATTCTTTGGTTGCCATGAGGCCTTTGTGCTTCTGGGGGTGAAGAGGTAAGGCTACACCAAAAGTGTGGCTCCGATGACTGAGAAAGCTCCACCGGTCCTCAGCCTAGCACACCGGGTTTTTAGTTCTGATTTTTTTCGCTAAATCAGGTCTTGAATGCTGAGCAGCAGCAATAACCAGAAGCATTGTAGATCTTTGCTAATGTATCACTCAGCATTTTTTCTTTATTACATGCCCTACCAAAACCATATATAGTTACAATCAGTTCTTTATTTTATATAAGAAAATAAAAAGATAATTATAATTATGCAGGGCAAATATTTATTTATTACTGTTTTTTTTTTGTCTGCAAAGAGAATCTGAGTATATAGTTAGATATAATTTCTATAGTAAAGACCAAAACCCAAAAATGAAAAGAACAAGACCCAGAGACAGAAATTTATAGCATTAATTATTTTTTTGTTCAAGAATGTAAGGTCCTGGTAATAGATAGGCTATATTAATCAAATACACAGAAAATAAAAGTCCTAAGATAGATGGTGCTATTGTAGTAGGCCAGTTAAGAGCTCTCTAGAGCAAAGACCAGGAAAAATTAAGAGAATCATTTTAAGACTCTCGTGTGAAAGTGAGGGCTGAGACAACACAAAGAGTACAGATTCTGAAATGTAAAGGATCTAATAAACCATCCCCATCATCACCTCAGTTACTTTTTTCTCTTTCCATTTTCGAAGGTCCTCTGTTGGCCATTTATTTGCTCAAATGGCTTTTACTCGATGCTTCTCCAAGCACCAGACCTTAAAAGTGGCATGAGAAGACCCTCCTTCCTGAAGAGTAAAAGAATTTCAAAGCTTTGAAAATAAAGATTCTTTCTATAGCAGCGGGACTTCATGAAGAGCATTGACCCTCAATGAAATGAAGCAAAGACTCACCCTTCACAGACCCTCACTTTATGCTACCTGTGCCTTAACCTGTCCTCGAATTCAAATGGTTATACTCCATAAAATAACATCACTATGATTGTGTGTGATGCTAAAAGATAGACCATCACTTTTCCCAGGTTACATAAAGGTGAAGGCATTTTTCTAGTGTGAGAAAGCATACTGCTAGTAGCCACCAGTGTTTTATAATGGGAGTGAGAATGCCATTAAGGTTCTAAGGCAGCATCTTAAGAGGTCCCTCTTGTTTGCGATTGGCAGACTATCGGCTATTTCAATACAGGCAACAAACTGCAATAAACATATTTAATTACCTCCATCCTGTCTCTATGCAACTCTTCTTACTCCCAGAAGCCTACTCCATCCTCTCAGGGGGAGGAGATAAGCAGATGGGTGTGAGCAGTTGCACAGAACTTTGGGCAGCCACCAGCCCTGAGGGCAATTGGTCAACACCCTTGAAGCCAGTTAAACCTTCAGTAAATGGTTCCCAACTCCAACAGATGGGCTGTTGGTCCCAGTTGTGCTATTCAACATCTATATGACTCCATATAAGAAACTAAAATCTGGGAGTTGGAGGATTGCTTCTCTCTAATATATTCTATTTAATATTTTATGATTTTACTCCATAACTAGTATCTTCTCTTCATAATGGAAAGCTTGGCCTGGGTCTATTTTCTCCACTGGTAGAATGCCACAAAGGGATGACAGTCGTCCGGTTAACGCTCACCAAGGATTTGAATATGTTTTCCTTTTACAACCAAGGAAGCAGATGGTTAAATGAAGTCGTTACAATCATATAGGGACAAGTCATACTCCTACCCTACAAAGTGAGGCACTTATTACTATAATTCAGCTTTAATATTTATGTTCTTGGAGGGCAACAAAATTACAACTACAAAAATCTTATTTAAATGAAACATTTCTGATTTCTAAACATATTTTTAAACTACTTTTACTAGTTCTGACACTTTTCTGAACATTAAAAAGGTCACCACCACATGAATTATTATGGAACTTTCTTGCAAGAATATTTTTCATTTCCCCTTTATTACATTTAGAATCCCTCAAACTTTTATTTTCCATTCTCTCGCCCTTCCTCTCTATTTCTGCCACCCCCACCATCTTCTCTAACTGTAAATGCTATTTCAGAGCCCATCTTTTTAATAAAAAGTTATCTTTAAAAGCTGATGTGCTGCACATCTGGGTGTTTTTTTTCTTTAAGGGTCCTCATCTTTATTTGGCTTTATGACACCCGTCTTCCATGGAAGTAAGTGCTCACTCAAATATTAAATGCACAAATTCATGCAGCGTCACTGTGCATGCCTGTTCTTAAAATTCCTTACACTTTTACTGTTGTAGTCTCTACTCAGGGATTGGAATTTGGCTTTTATGACTCCAAGGAGAAAGCAAATTGCCCCTTTGGCAGGAACATATATACCTACACTAGTTGGTGCTACAAGAGCGTGTTCCTAATCCAGAGTTAGAGCCCTGAAAGAGGAAACAGTCATTGGAAAGGGCGTGAGGAACAGAATCAAGGACGCTGATTCTGAATCACAATGATTCTCCTGAGGTCATTCCCAGGTTCCAGCCCTTCTTCCCAGTAGCCAGGTTATTTTGGCTTTTACGTTAAGATGGGAGTGGTCCCACCTGTCTGGCTAGTACACAGCCAGTTTATAGGCATTTTCCCCTTTCCTGGACATGGGATGAAAATCAGAAAGCTCTGATGCCATCCTGAAAGCCAACTTTCTAGATACCCACTTGAAAAGCATTCACATGATACCAAATCACCAAGTGTTTCTCTTTTATCCTTGGTAATCAAATGAAGTTCGTTTTGGCTTGAGTGTTTTTAATTGTATAAACAAATATGGGGTAAGGCAAGTGAGGTATACCATGGAATGAGGCTAAAATGAAACCAACAGTGATCTTTCTCTTTGCTTGCCCATAAGAAGGTATTTAATAGCTAGTGTTCTGGGTTGAATTGTGTCCTCACAATTCATATTTTGAAGCCCTAACCCCAAGTACCTCAGAACGTGACCTTGTTTGGAGACAGGTTCTTTATAGAGGCAATCAAGCTACAATGAGGTCGTTAGGGTGGGCCCTAATCTAATGATTGGTGTCCTTACAAGAAGGGGAAGTTTTGACACAGGCAGCAACAGAGAGAATGCCATGTGAAAGGGAAGACAGTGATCTACAGGCCAAAAGAAGAGGTTTGAAACAGATCCTTCCTTCACAGCCCTCAGAAGGAGTCACCACCCTCTTGATTTTGAATGTCTTGCCTCCAGAACTCTGAGAAAATAGATTTCTATTGTGTAAGCCATCCAGTTTGTGATACCTCATCACAGCAGCCCTACCAAACGAATACAACTATCTACTTTATTCTTTTCCTGGAAATTAAACTGTCAATTTTTATAAATTTCAACTGTACATTACGGCTGAAGAAACATATATCTATTCCATTTCATATTTGATCTCTTAACTTTAGAAAAAAAAATCTATGCTGCTCTTTAATTATAATGTCCTGGATTTCCTGATAAAATCTGTGATAGCCACAGGTGATGTTGAGAAACCTAGAAAACAACATTTCACAGCTGAATAAACAGAAGTCACCCAGTTAGTTACCAGTAAGGTTAGTCACCTGGCTCCCAGTCTCCATGATTTCCTACAGTAGCACACAGCCACCTTGGGTATTAGCCCAGAACTGCAGGTCATTAAACTGTCATGTTAGGAATGTTTGAAGTCAGGATAGTATAAGAATAAGCAGAAACTCAGATCACAAAAGAGTTTACCCCACTCAAACAGTTTTCTACAATTCCAGGCACATATTCTTAATCAGACTATTAATAATTTTACTGTTACATGGAAGAAACACTTTTATACCATTTTGAGATAAGCACAGCAAATGGGAAAACTGCATATCTCAGTTAGTCCATGGAAAGATTAAGATCTTCATTTCAAATCTGCATATTTAAGCACAGAAAAATGTTCAGAAGACCGCTTATGTAATTTGGTGATTCTCAAGTTTTCACAAGTCATACTGAATGTCTGAGGCCGTTTTAAAATATATATATTATTTTAACTCAAGTTGTTACTTATTACTGATAGGCCTCTTCTGTGTTGTTTTGTTTTGTTTTGTTTTTCTTTTTCAATTATTTCTTTTGGATGTTGAGTTTTTTGAGAAGATTCGGGGACACATGGAAGAAATCTTGAAATAGCTGATGTGGAAGAGAAATCTGACTCTTCTACCAATTAAATAGATTTCAACTCAAACAAAGGAATCCTTTAAAAATAGGTATGCTGTGATAGAATTAGCTGCTGCGGCAGATCTTTTAAGGGTTAGTCACTGCTGATGTTCTAAGCATTAGACCATTTGGAGACTGTTATAAAAAGGGTTCAAGCAATGATTAGATCAGATAGACTGGATTGTATTATATTAGATTAAATGGACTGTATGGCAATTTTCATCCTAAAGGTGCATGGTTCTATGAACTCAGTAGTAATATTATCAAACCATTTCTTCCCCTCTGCTAACACAAGGCTTATTCCTTCATATGCTTGACACCCTTTGTGTTTGGAATAGCAATGTAATTTATTTCATTAACATATATTTAGATGACATAGGCTAGAATATTAGTCACAGCTCATACAGATCAAGTAAGTGAAAGGGCTGAAGTCAATTTCTCATTTATTAGTACAGACTCATCTATCTGTTATTTATTGGGTGAAGGCAACAAACTGTCTCATAATCATGAAAAAATCAAAATATTTTAACAATCATATTAGTCCTTGGAATTGTTTCCTAAAGAGCTAAAAATAATTAGCACAGCATGAAATAATTGAATACTGACCTCCTTCATTTTTTCCAGTTCATTCTGTAAAGCTTGCTTTGCAATCTCAACTTCTATAAGCTGCTGCCTCAGTTTCTCATTTTCATCTTCTGTTGTCGTTCTCTTTTCTTCCACATTTTCCAATTCATGGTGAAGTCTCACAGATACATCCTTTGCAACCTAAATTAAAGTGTGTGTAACAACAAAATATAATTAAAGACAACAAAACATATTCATATTAAAAGTAGTAAGAGCCAATACTTATATGCCATATGCAGGCATTATTCCAGATACTTTACATATAAGCCGCTCACATACAACCATCCCATGAATAGGTATGATTATCATTCCTGTTTTATAGATGGAGAACTCTAAGTCTTGGATATGTGAAGTAATATGCTCAAGGTCAGATAGCTTACGAGTGAGCAGGCAGTCTGGCTCTCCACTCTGTTCCTTTAACCTCTACCCTGCATTGTAGTAATAAATGTTCAATTGTATCTATCATGTGTAGGCAGTTTTGCCTCCTGTTCTAAAATCATCCTGGAAATTTTAGGGTTTGGAAAAGTGGAGCAGTCTTGTGTGGTGGCTCAGGAGCGGGCTGTGTTTGAGATGGAGTGAGGAGCCAGCCAGGCTAGCTACTAGCTGACTTACAGGGAGGCTAGCCCTGTAAGAAAAAGGTTCAGGGTAAGTACCTGTTAAATGATGTTATCAATAATCCCTACTTTATAGTTTTTTTTTCCCTTACCCAACCTAAGAAAAAGGTTCAGGGTAAGTACCTGTTAAATGATGTTATCAATAATCCCTACTTTATAGTTTTTTTTCCTTGAGAAATATATGAGATAATAATATCGGGTGTCCCCAAAAATGTATACACACACTTTGAATAATTACAAAGGCAGTGTTTATTAAAATAGATTTCATTTTCAAAATTGAGCTATCCGCTGTTAAAGTGTGTGTACATTTTGGGGGAACAAACTGTATATATAACAATGCTTGCCATGGTGCCCAGTGCCCAACGAAGTTAATACCCAACAAAGGTTAAAAAAAAGAAAAAGAAGAAGAAAAAGAAGAAACTTTCATAAAATGTTTTTTTGAAAACAAATGTAGGATAATTACATTTGATTTTCCTATCTTTAAGTTAATATAATTAAAATTGTATTTTTGGTTATTCAAGGCCATGCAGTTAACAACTGACTTACAGTCAAACCGAACTAAACAGACCACACCTGCCTAAAAACGCATTTCCAAGTTGAAATTTCTCCTGAAGAAGCGACTTCCCATTAAAAATAATGTGAAATGTTTCTTTTACTTACTTCACTCTCCCTTTACCTCCAAAAGGGGTCTTAAGTTGGACAGTTTCCCTTTGGGGGAGTTATGGAAGTGGTAAGTACTGCAAAGGACTCCTGGAAGATAGGTGGGGTCTTGCAGGGAGAAATCTCAAACTCTTCCCAGGGCTGTTCCTAGTCAGGGCTTCAACTACCCTGCTCTTGAGCGCCTGATTCCACCGGGCCTGCACTGGCACCACAGGTTCTGGAGGCCAGACCCAGGCCAGAGCCTGCGCTCTGCCACACCCTGCTTTCCGCCAGGAAGGGGGGCGCCCTCTTCCCACCGCCGCTGTTAGAGCCACGTCACTCCCAGGAGAGCCCACAGAGCTCGCTCTCCATCAGGCGTGACACACTGGGCTCTTCCCATCCACCTGTCTGTTCTTCCCTTCTCCTTCCGGCACTGATACTTCGTGGTCAGAACTGCGAATCTCCATGTCCTCAAAGCCCTCTGCCAGCCATCATTGAAGGCCTTTCAGAGTTCCCACCCGCCCCGGGCCCGGGCCCCCA